CTACGGACGCCCTAGTGTATGCACAGTCCTTGTGATGCTTACCCCTCATTCCGGCTCAAGGCATACATAAGCGGGGGATAAATTTAACCCCCAGATTTGCCGATCACGCATCTTCGTGCTTGCCAACGAGTTCCAATGTACCCTTCCCAGTCGGCGATGTCACATGTACATTCTTTAGCGCAAAGTATGTACGTAGCAACCTTTCTCCCAAAACAAGTAATCACCACATGCTTTGCCAACTATGTAACTACTGTAGTACATCCGGTGCGATTCGGCTAGGTTTCGACCTCCTCCCCCTGGCCTCAAGTTGCAGACTCTCATCATTGAGCATGTGCAGCTTAGCACGCCCATCCTTATCAAGCTGGATTTTATAGTTATATTTCTGTCTATCAATGTGAGTGGTTTCAATCTTATAGAGTGCCACACGATTCTGGGGGGTTGTATGCGGCAGTTGTTGCACCATAAAATTGCAATGCCCGATTTATCTTCTCAATCTAGAGTCTAGAGGGGATTTGTTTAAATGATGGTTTAAGTGCTTGATTGGACCAATGACATTCACCCATCGTGCACTGCGACCCCGTTCAGTGTAGGCTTGAAAAGAGTTTTGAGCTAGTGCTTTCACCTGGCTCAGTTGTGGGGTGAGGCTTTTTCGAATTTCGTCCAGAGCAAGATTCCCCTAATCCATGGGACTGGGAAAAAATAGATCTATATACCCATATCTAGCCCCTCACCAACAAACATGGAAGTGGACAATCCCAGTGACAATCCCTTGTTTGAAGAGGAAAGGGGTCTTTCCAGAGGTCATTTTCCACTTCCATTGATCCAGGGAGGGATGCCGGTAGGAAGACCCTTAACACTTGTTTAAAGCAGCCTAATGTATAGTGATGTATATAGCTAATATTCCATATGTGGATCCTTAGGAGATTCATGGTCGGCAATTGCTACTTTGTTTTGCTCACTCTTTTTGATTTGGTTTTCGCAGCTTGAGAGTGGAGATGGGCAGACCGGGAAGACCCACGGAAGTTCGGCTTCTCCGTGGCCTTTCGGCTTGGGCGTGGCCGATCTTTCAGACGCAGAGCCCCTATGATAGAGTTAGTAAGTAGATGCATGCCGCATGTATGCACCTGAAGATCGCGAATTCGTCTATTTTTAGGCGTTTGCACGATGGTTTGTTGTCCTTTGGGCCGGGGTGCATGTTGCATACTTGATTTACTAAAAAAACTCATGAATCGACGATCGCACATGATCCAAGACCATTGCACAACTGAAGGCCCAGGCCCAGCTCTCGGCCAGGCCCAGCTCTCTACGGCCAGAGGTGGATGGAGAGGAGCTGGTGCTTCGGCCGATGGTTGGACACCCCATTCGGTCCCCGACATCCGAGGGTTGAAGTTGGATTGATTCCCAGCAGTTGGGTTTCCTCAGAAGACATGTGTTTGCTTCTCATTGTCAATGAATTTTGGGACCCAAGCCAACACTCAGACCATGTCTCATGTCTCATTCTTAGACCACATTGGTGTATGCGGTCTCGCTATCTGAGGCGCCCTTCAGACCATGTCAAAACCCAACTGCAGGACTCTTCTCTTCCAACTGCACCCTGTCGGCTCCATCCATTGCGGCCCCCAAGGTGAGCTACGCGGAGTTCTTGGAGCAGCGGCTCCCGGGCAGCGACCGGCGCAAGGAGCGGCAGAAGCACAAAGGCGCGCAGAAGCACAAGGAGTCGGGACCGGGGAGCGTTTTGGGAGGGTCCCAAAGCTATAAAACCCATGAAGGATTGAAAAAAAGAAAAGCGTTGTTTTGGTCTTTACCAAAGAACCATTGTTTTAATTTTTGCACTGCACCACCAGCTCAACCGTTCTTTTAATGGTCTTTGAAGGCTAGGGTATACATTATTTATATACTTGTAGGCATCTCGTGTTCCATATCCTAGGCAAGTGCCAACTGGACATGGAATGTCATGGCATAACTGTTCTTCATCCAAGGCCAGAGATTTAAGACATGAGATGAGGTCTTGGAACCGTCAAAATCGTTTGCCGAGCCGGGTTCAGGCTTGGCCTGTAAGGGCAGGCCCTTCCTTTTGGTCTAAGCGAGGGCAGAGTCGGTTCACCTCCACTCCCACTCCATTCGAAAGCACACCTAATCGAAGGTCGGGTCCAAAAGCATCCGGCATGTTCCAGTCCCCATCCAGGGACCTGCCAAAATCGCCCACATGATGTGCTTTGGGGGGGGGTCCATCATGGGGGGGTCCATGTGTTCCGGTTGGGTGCTCTGGGGGGTGAGGTCGAGGTCGGACGCCCGGTCGAGACCGCACCACAGCGACCCGCACGACCGTTCCGCACGGCGTCGGTAGGTGCTTTCACCGCTCCGGGAAGTGTCGGGGAACCCATGGCGCAGCACCATCGAAATCTTTGTAAACAGTTGGTCTATCCAGCCGCCTGGCACGCAAGATAGTGAGTTATATATATAGTTATATGGACATACATATATATATATATATTAGACTCAAGGATGCTGAGATCCAAGCTATTGGAGTTGGTCCTGCCCAAATCACCGGGACAACATGGGACAACTGTGTTTGGAGCCCCCACAATTAATGGGGGTTCCTCAAGATGTTCCCTTATATTATGTAGACTGTTGCTGAATAAAGCTTCCCCATGTGGTTTGTAAAAGTTATCCTCCATATTATGTCCGGTTGGTTGAACTAGAATCATCAGTCTACAGTTTAGTGGCCCCCACATGTGTCCAATACATTTTAAGTGGGGATCTACTTTTCTATATAGCAGGGGACCACTTTAAAACCAATTCTGGGAGTCCAACAGGCGCGGTGTCGTCGACGTGGGGTGGCATTTGCTCGTGAGTGACCACGCTTTGGGGTAGATCATGGGGCGGACGCAGCCGGTGCCCGGTGAAAGTGAAACGCCTTGCAGAGGTGACCATATGGGAGTTCAAAGATGCACCGAAGTTTCAACAACTGTCAAGATTGGTAGGTTCTATTACATTTTGTGACAGGTAAATATAATCTGCAATAGTTTACTGAGTTTACTGTAATATTGTTGGTGTTGACTGCGACCCTGTATGACCTGCTTTGACAGATCGCCCGGCACGGCGCTCCAAAACGTCGCCTTCCTACGTTTTCCTACGTCGACTACGGCGCCCCGGCCCCCGTTGGCCAACCAAGGATGGCTCCCCGGTCCAGGTGGTGCACGCCTTTTTTCGGCTCTTGGTGGAGCTCAAGCGATCCAAACGGTCCCTTGGGCGTCATTGTCGCCCATGTCTCGAGGGAACAGAAGGAGCCGTGCTTGAAGTGCACAGATGGCTCAAATCATGTCGGGTAGACGCAATGGTGCCGTATGTCTCGGTCTGGGTTGTCGGGTTCGCAAGGATTCTTATATAATTGTATATTATATGTGCAACTCATGACTCATGACCTACTAATGAACCACTGCCCACCATCATGCCTGGACAAAGACGTGGTTATCTTCCACAGTCACTGCAGTTCAGTCACTGCAGATCGCTCGTTGCAAGGATGCGATGCTTCAAGTGGTTCGAAGGCGGATATCATGCCCATCTCAGTACCTATCTCCTCTATATGATTGTTGTATATACATATATATATATATGTCGTTTTTTGTCTCAGATTTTTTGATAGTAGTCAATATGTGTTACAGGGATACTTTGTAGATTCGATGCCTCTAAAGTCTGGTGACGTTCTGTATAGCTCAAGGTGCGGCATGTGCACCAGAAAACTGTGGACATGTGTTTGACCTCCTCCCAAGTGCGAGATCTTCATCCATAGTCCCATGGACATCCATGGGCTCAGACACTGGTAAATCGTGGTTGACCTCTTCCCGCAGGAAGAACCCCCCAAATAATGTTAACATCCCAGTAATAAACTATTTGACAATAGTAATTAACTGTTTGGCCTGCCAGAATTTCACAATGGTTTGAATTGCGCCATTATCCAGACCCCAAAATGGATAAACCAATCTATTTATCAATTGTAAACCTTTGACAATAGTAATTAGCTTTTGGGCCTGCCAGAATTTTACAATACAAGCTTTATACCAAAATGCTTTCAGAACGCTTTCTCCATCTTCTTGTTCTTCTTTTGTATGTTCTGTTTTATATAATCTTTGCCCGTCAGATTTCCAAAAACTTTTGCTAGCCAAAAGCTTTAGGTTTCCTTATTCAAACCCTATTAAACAAATACAACAAATATGTTCAAAGGGTACCCCTTTAGACTCCCACCCCTGCAATTATAAACCAACCTACAATAATCAACCCTCCTCCAGCTCTGCCGGCTTGTCCTTGCCTTGTGCTTTCCCACTTGCTATTAGCTATTTTATATATATATATATAGTTTTTTGTTTTCCTCTATCTTCTTTTTCTTCTTCTTTCTTCTGTCTTCCACCACCACCACCACCACCACCACCACCACTACTACTACTATCCCCTCTGCCAAATGGCCCGGAGGTTTTATATTTATTAAGGTTCAGAGTTTTCACTACCCCGGACTTTTTTTTTCATAGGGGGGGTTTACTAATGAGATGCTAACGTTAGACAGAGAAACGCCACATAACATGCAGATCTCTAATTAATCAATGTGTTGAACAGAAACCGTTTCACTATCTACATCGACCGTTTCACGACCTCGTTGGCTTGGAGACCGCTTGACCGCTTGGAGGCCAAGTCCATCCACCGACCTCGGTCCCCAGGTCCTTCAGCTTGATCTTTCGCAGCTTCGGCGAGGTGACCGGCGACCGGTGGAAACATCCGAAATCCAAACGGGTGTATTCGCTGGTGAGGCTTGTTTCGGGGCGTTTGTTTCCAGCAACATGTGGGATCTATATATACATATTTACATACATATAATATATATATATGTACATATATGATTATTTATGTAGCCAATCATCGAGAAGCCACTAGGAAACTGATTCTGTTGTTGGATTTGTTCAGAGTCTATCTAGTCCAGGAATATTGCAGTTGAACGCAATGACCGACACCCTATGATCTACCTACAAAATTCTAAATATTAATATTGTAATTATCGATGGTGGGCTCATGTTTGATTTGTGGGATTTTTCCCAGCAATGTTGCCTTTGGCTCTATATGTCATACGCTGTCATATGATGCGTTTTTTCTCTCAAATTGAACCTGCTGAATTTGCTTCCCATGACCTTCCGAGAAGCTTGAGAAGAAAGGAAATCATCAGTAAAAACACCCCACACACACACACAGACACGCGCGCGCGCGGTCTTTGATTTTTCCGAAAGGTCTTCTGTGACAGTGTCACCTCCTCCTTTTTGTTCGGCGTTCTTTCTTTCGCTCCTCTTCCGTCTCCAGGATCTGGAGCTGGTGGCACAGGAGCTGAACTCCTTCTGTGAAGGGAAGCATCCACTCTTTCCAGGCCGACGGAGACTCACATGGAGGGCCTGGGTAGTGCGGCTCGTCCCATCGGGGCCGTGGATGTGAGTTATGGGCACTCTGACGGCACCCTCCATGGATAGCACCCCTTCCGTGACTGCTGGCAGGTGTAAAGACATCCCCAGGTTTGACCCAGGTCTGACTCAGTCTCACACACCCCAGGTAGGTAAATAACATCTGGTCAATGAGGCAACCCCGTTGAATGAGTTCATTTTGGGGATACGACCCGCTCCAGTCAAATGAGGCATTTGACCTTTGATGAAGGGGTACCACATGATAACACAAAAGCTGTTGGCCGAATTTGTTTGGGATGTGTCTGTGTCCATCATCCTTTGATGACCGGATGGAGATATTGCAACGGCTGCGGTGCCTGGGAATTTGTTTGCGGGGGCCCAGCCCATCCAACTGTTTTGCAATCTCCATGTTGACTCGGAGTGTACCTCCCTGCCAGCCCTGTCTTCGGTACAGGTTTTCGCATGGATGGTAGTGATGGTGAGCCGGATTACCGCTTCCACATCACACATCCGGAGCGCTTCGGCAACTTCCACATCGATGCTTGCACAAGATGGCGGGAACCCTTCGGCAAATCATGGTGAGTGGATGTTTTCGCAGGCTCAACAAAAGCAATGGATTCCATGGATGTCCTGTATCACGACAAGGTTTCAACTGCTCCTTCCTTGTTCCAGTCAGGTTACCCAGGTTCGGGGCGTTTTTCCTTGGGCTTTGGCTTTGTAGCTGTTTGACGATCGTGGAGATAAGCTTTAATTTTAACATATACTTCAACCAAATATGGCCAAGTCGCAAAACGGGAAAACAGACACCTCACTGTACAAAAAGTTGCGACGGAGCTAAATATGTTCTGTCGTCCCCCGGCCAAAATGAACGTGCGGGTCCCTGGACCTTGGGTATTTGCTGACATGTGGTCCAATGTCAACAACACTCACTGGCACGATGAGACTGACGCCCCACGGAGTGTGGCCGGACTCGCGTGGCAGTTTGGGTGACACCTGCCGAGGAGAATGAGGACTTGCATTTGGTCTTAGGCACCATTGAGCAGCCCGGTGAGGGCCGCTACAAGGACACCCACAACTGAGGGAGGGGAGTGGGGGTTACATGAACATGTCGACATGTTGGAAGCGTGTTTGTTGGACTGACCGCATGGACATCAGTACCGCAGTCCGTCCCTGAACCCCAAGCCTGCAATAGCTACCGCTTTGCTCTCTTGACATCATCAGATGGTGGCACACACCATCGGGCCTTCAAGTGAATACTGTTTTGTGACACCGGCATTGCAGCTGAAAAATAAAGAAAGCACATGCTAGACGCCTTCCAATTGTCCAGCCTCCAAGCCATTCCTTGAGTGTTTGAAGCACGTGACCCGGGAGAATTGGCTGAGATCCCCATAAAACAGGCAGGCCGCCAACCAAGGGGGGGGACCCTTCTCAAGAGTGCTGGAGCAAGGCTTCTGATTTTCTGCATCGGTTTCGATGAGCTTCCCGGCCCATCGGTCGACCCGAAGGACGTGGCGGATCGAAGCTTGACCTTCTATGAGACACACCAGCTGCCCGTGACGCGCATCATCTCCGGCATGTGCCGGGCCTAACCGGGGAGACTGGGCGATCTGAGTGGCGAGTAGACCATCCGAAGAATCCGACTGGTTCAAATCCCACTGTATCGGTGAAATGTGACTGAGCCTCAGCCGGCTGGTTCGCGATATGTGCAGCCAAATGATGCCACCCAATTTCAGTGGTTTCAGAGTAGAGGGCACAATCCCCAAGTTCGGTGGTTTATATGGACCCCTATATCTAAAGGCAAGAATCTTGAGGTCCGTGCCATCTACTCCTGAAACCACAGTATACACGTTCCTCCACTGGGCATGGTTCTTCTTTCCCAGGTGGGTCGAAGTTCTGGGCTTCTGAAAGACATGATCACTGTCCTGCCCTTGTTCTTCCAGGTTTTGATCTGCTTGGATCTTTGTTCAACGAGTTGAACAAACACCAACAAACACCATCGTTTGTTGCACTGCTGGGGTGGCTCGATGGGACATCTTATAGCTTCTCCGCCGGAACTGGGAAACTGATGTTGAGAGGTTGCCATGCCTTCCGCGTTCAGAACTTGAGGATGTCGGCGACGGCTTTTTTGCGTTGTGATTTTTGGTTGGCACGGTGGCGTTGAGAGTTTTGAAGAGACCAGATGCACTTAGGCACTTGATGACACTTGTATTACGTGTTGGATCCTCCATCACCCTGCGCGGAATCTGGAGCTGAATCGGACCCGCGTTCCGCAGCGTTCCCTATCACTGGCTCGCGTAGCTCGCGACAAGGTCGGCAGTGGTGGATTTCATTTGGGAGCTCTCCGCTCAGTGTCTCACTGCTGGCTTTCGTGACAACTTCCAATATTGGAAGATGAAGGGCCACAAGCAGGAGACTGATGGAATCATCCTAAAGCTGAGACATAACTCAACATCAAGCAGAGGCAGCTCTACCATAGTCAGATTCCCGGAGGCAAGTCCGTTTATAGTCCCCTCAGGATTTCTGCTCAGAGTTTGGCGTGAGGGTACTGAAACTGAAACGCCTCCTCCATGGCATCCATGGTGTTTCTCCCTGCATCCTCCTGTGTGGTTGTAATGGATCATCCGTCCAGGAGGGCGGCAAGTTCTTCCTCTTCGATGCGTCTCGGAGCACTTTACGTCACGAGATCTTCTTCGATGACAACGTGCACTTCCAAGACTTGAAGATTGTACGACCCTATCACAGGAGAGAGCAGCCAGTTCTAGAGCCTGTTTCGCGGTATGGGAATGGGGATGCTTTTATGTTTGTAGAACCAGCTGCTGGTGGTCTAGGTCCAACCACCATGCTTCCTTTGCAAGTAACGCGCGACGCGAGCTCGAGTCTGCCGCGGCCCATGTTGGGCAGTGAAGTTGCACTTTCACCTCCCGCATCCAATAGGACACCATAGATGGCCTTCTAACATTGGTTGGTTGGTTGGTTAATAGAGGGGGCACCCCCAAGTGCACAACCAATTTGTGGACTTGGCACCGGCCCCTCTATTGTTCCCAAAAGGACATCATTGTAGGACACGTCAACAAAAGGACGTGAGCCCACTTGGCCTTGGGCAGGATGCGACAGAGGCGCTCGTGGTGGGGCCTTCCTTTGCTTCGGACTCACGTGTGGAAGGCTTAGGCTTTTGCTGCCAGCTGGTGAAGGTGTTGGAATTAGTCACAGAGACTTTGTGTTTGTGGAGACGGCCATTGGTTCAACCAAAAGGGCACTACTTGGATGATGTTTGACGATGTGGGGTGCAACTGTGTGATATGTTCAATGCTTTTGCGCTCCGGGTCGACATTAAAATACCAAGTCTTCTTCTTCGGTGAGGGCCCTGGGACAGCCTCCGGCAAAGGTCAGCAAATGAAACCAGAAGACTATATAGATTTAATGTGTGGGCTCAGAACGTGGAGAGGTTGCGCACCCCAGTTCCAACATGATCGTCTCGTGAGGGTCCCTTTTCATGAGCTGAAGACGAATTCGCAAGCCTCAAGACGAATAAGATCACGTTCAATCCTCAGGAGCTTATGCAAGCCACTGGAACCGGCACCTTGTAAAGCTTTCAAGTTGATCATGATCCAAGGCTAGATATTTTTTGACTATCCCTACACTCCCCACACCACATCTGGGTTCCCATCCCCAAAACACCCCCAGACATCGACCTTCTTCGTCCGCTTCTGTTCCCGGACGCCCTTAGGTGCCGGGCCGACGCTCTCCGGGCGATCAACGACGACCTGTACTTCGTCGCCGAAGTGCAGAGGCGAAACACCACCAGACACTCCATGGGACTTGCATATTTATACCGATCAGTTGGGGTGGTGGTTTGAGGGGTCAATGGGACGGCATATATGACAGACATGGAGTGTCTGGGACAAAAACCCCCACGCTGACTCGCTCCGCGTCACGGACGGGTTCCGCGCGGTCCGCGAGCTGGGTTGCGGCGCGGAGCGGCGGATCGGCGCGGCGGATGGGCGGGTTGGGGGGGCCGGTTGGGGTGTGTCCATTCACCACGTGGACCGATGGGGGGCTTTGGGGGATTCCTGTGAGTCGCAGATCCACACGTCGTTCGAGGCCCAGGGACTCAGCACGGTGCGTGGGCTTTTTGAAGCGTTGGAAAGCAGCACACTAGGCATCAGAGGCCGGCATTGCGGCATTGCCTTCTATATTTGGCCTCAACACGGTTTTCACGGCAGTGGAACCGAACGAACTGTGCAACTCAACGCTGGAGAAGGTTGTGTGCTTCTAGAAGCAGCACCCTCCTACATCAGAAGACTTGGAGGGCGTCCGTTTCGGCCCCAAAGCGTCCAACGCAAAGTTCCACTGAACATCCAAATCCCAGACACTCCATGGGACTGGCATATTTACCGATCAGTTGGGGTGGTGGTGCCAGAGGGGTCAATGGGACGGCATATATGACAGACATGGAGTGTCTGGGAATGGCATTTGGCGCGAAACCGCGACGTTTCCGGGGAATCTCCATCTCCCCAGATTGGGACACCTGCACACCGCCGGACACCACAGCCCGGAGCGACACCGCACCCGCTCTCTTGGGCGAAGGCTCGAAGCCAACTACGAGAGCAAGCTCGCAGTGATGCAACGCTGTAGTACCTGCCGCCCGACTAAATGACGACCATACGGGACAGCTATGAGAAGCATAGTTAGAATTTGTCCTAATAGACCTGTAACAGTCGGTAAACAATAGTGACTGGTTTTCAGAATGGCATTTGCTCACCATCATCATCCACTGTTACTGGTAATGGGATATGCTGACTTATTCAGTCATGGCATGACCTGGTGTTGAGGGCTTGGTTTGGTGGAAAGACCATGGTCCCCACGTTGTTCGTTTGCACACCGTTTTCCATGCGAAGGTTCGCATTGCCAGGATAGTCAGGTGCTGCTGAAAGGATCTGAAGAGCTCGGAGCTCTGAACGCAGAGAGTTCTTCCGAGCAACCAACGGCTTCTTCCAAAGAACCAGCGAACCATAACCTAAATGTAATGCCAGACAGGTCACTTTGTTTGCTGCTCATATACGTATATGCTGTATATGTATGTATATATGTAGTCATTTGGCAGCTACATTGAGACTGGAGACTAGCTGGGGAAGCTGTAGCGTGAAAACCTCTCCCATGTGCATGAAGATCCAGGCGATGGCCTCAAACCATGTTGGTTGCTGTTGTGCACCTGTTGTGATGCGAAGAGCGCAAGTGTTTGTTCCTGTTGGGGTGGAGTTGGGAGACGGTGAGATCACGTGAGATCCACTCACTTCTCCAGAGATTCCACCTGAAACATGTAGAATCTTGATGAACTCAGGGGAGTTATCAATCAGAATTCTATATATAGCTACATGAAACATGGTTGTTGTGAGAAGACGGTGATGGTGTGAACCTCTTTCATTTGTACTGGTCTCGCGCCGGTACTGGTCTCCCGGTCCGGCGAGTCGAAAACCAGGCTTGAAGCGGCTACCGATCAAGCACAGCACTTTGACCCTGCCGAGCTTGGAGAGAGAGACACCTGCCTTGTACTCTGTTCGGGCTTGGTGTGTTGGCTTCTGTTCCGTGTGGGGAGAATGCAGATTTGGACACAGGAATTCGTCCGAGGTCGCTGTGTTTGCACCACTGAAGGTCCTGTTTCCGGTCAGTTTCACTCACCACTCACACGAACTTCCGTTTGGAATGCGGCACGGACGTGCTTCCCCAAGAACTCGGCTTTTGGGTTCTTCAACATCCTTGCGGGGTCTGTCAAGAGGTGGACGAGGCTCTCGATGCCAACAAGGCCTCGTGGACGAGGTTGTCACAGAGGTTGTCACAACACGTGAAGCTTAAAAATGCTGCAGGATGTTCGAAGTGCCTGATGGCTTCATCATGTTTCTGTGTAATGTGTCACTGCAAACACATCTTTGCAATCGGGAGGTTGACCAGAGTTTGGGCGGCGATGCCTTGGCTAAGGAAGTACGATGCCTGGGAAAACCTTCGTCTCTGGGCGTTGTTGTCAACGTCGACGGTGAATTCATGTCGGGGGTTAATACGGCTGTTTGATTGATGAGCCGGCAATGCTTCGGAGGGTTTAACATAGCAAATACATATGTGATCATATGTATTCATATATATGTATACAATTGTATATATAACGTATTCAGCGCTTGAACCTGGTATATATATATAATATATATATATATTGAATGTTTACACAATACCCGTACGTGTTTGACAAAGATGGCTTGTTTCCATGTACTTGGGGGTACTTCAATGTTGCACGTTGTTCCTGGGTTTAGATACCAATCTTGTTCGATTGGTGAGTGTATGAACAAGGCTACGACGCTGAACTCGAGCGAACCTGCGTTGTTTAAACGGTCGGACCTTGCAGCAGCGTTGTTTCTGATACCAAGGAAGTACCCTTTTTCGGATGCCAATATGGTGTGAATCCCGGAGTCTGTGCGTCACTAAGAGAAGCATGAACCTGACACAAACCCAATCTCGCGTCGCAGATCACTGCGTTTGCGATATTCCAATGAGACCTTGCTTGGAAACGACATCATCCTCCCCTTTGAGGGTCTACTACTGCCGTAAGTGCTGCTGCTGCTGGGTGATACACCTGTCACACCGGTGCCACCCACAAAACCCAGGCAGAGACGAACGGACCTTGCCCGCGACCTCCGATTCGGACGCAGATTTCCTGTCGCCCTTGGCAGTGGCCTCTCCGGAAGGGAAAGAGGGGAAACTGAGATTATGCTGAGACGGTGGCAGTGGAAAGCACCAAGACTAGACCTCCCTTTGGTATACTAAGCTAAGCCATGCTAAGGCCCTTCGGTTCACTAAGCTAAGCGGATCGACAGGACCAGGCAGGAAGTGACCGGATTTCAACACCTCGATGTAGACTCCCTGCATTCCAACCCCTCACAAAGGTGGATTATAAGAGACCTTTGGAGATGTCTGGAGTGTTCATTTGTTTTTCGAGTCGACATTGGGCCTGTCCTACCAGTAACTGACAGTCAGTAAACAATGAAACACATATGATCACTAGGACTGGAGAAGGGCCTCAACGTGCCTTTACAAACCATCATCCGCTATGAAATCCTGGTCATGGGGTAGACCCAAAGTCTACATTGTGTAACCCCTATATGGGTGATGCTGAGACCAACTGAGCCACCAGAAGTGAACAAGCACCGATGCTGGTGGCCGCACGGTGGCCCGTGATAGGACCGGGAAAGCACCACACTGGTGCCGGCACCGATGATGAGGGATGGTCGCATTGAACCCAAGGCTTCCACAATTCATGCTGACAAGGGGTTTCCAGTCAACCGCTACAGGAGAAACAGAAGACTAGAGCTCAACGTTGCAGCATGGATATTGCTGCACATTCCTTGGCTCAGATGTGGAGCAGAGGAGCTCAGCTTTTGGATTGGTATGAGAACCACTTACCGAGTTGTTTTTGCTCAGATCCGGAATGAAGCGATAGCTACCTGAGAAGCAGATCGTCATTGGTCAACTTCGATGGTGGGAGATCCTAACCTTTCTAAAGCTATTAAGTGAAGGTGCGGCCTGGCTTTGCAGAAAAAGGGAGTAAGTGGAACTGGAACTGTAGCCACAATGTATGTGTCCGTCATTTGCTAGCTTCCGATTCCGATCGATGGTGTCATCTCAGTTACCTCATTGAGGCTGCTGTAGAATGTGTCATGCTGTACAGGCGCGGGCGACAGCGGTGGAGCCTCCCTTCACAGTACAGACAGCACATCTGAAGGATGTGTTCCCTCCTGAGCAGGTCTCTCACAGTTTTGTCTCCGACGGATTGCAACAGGGAAGTTTTGAGGAAGGATTCGTCCCTTCCCTTAGCCTCTTTGCAACTTCGTCAGGAGATCAAGTCTTCCAGGAACTTGCGAGATCGGATGTTATGTCCAGATCACACATTTGCCTTGCTTAAATGTTCTTTCCAACTCATGATGCGGAGACCTGCATACAGACCTGCACAAACATTTCACGTGCTTGGTATGTGCTGGGGCCAGTGGCGTTTGAGTTGTAGAGCTACAGCCTTCCAGGTTTTCATGATAGCAACAAGTGTATTACTACTAGTAACAAGAAGCTACGAATAGCTATATAAGGGCATTACTACTAGTAGCTAGAAGCTACGTACTATAGTAACAAGGGCATCGCATGTTCAGTGACCAATCTGGGACCGCAGAGCGGGAAGCGAAGGACGGGACCTCGAGAGTGGGACATGTGGTGATCGAAGCCTCACGGGACAGAGGTCCCTCTTCGGGCATCTGATCTGCCAGAAAAAGATGCACCTTGAAAAACAAGAATCGACATAACCTAAAAGACAATAACCTAAAAGTAATAGACAATCAATAACATTCAATAACTTAATGCAAATAAAGTAAAGATGCAATAATTAAATTTTAAAGTAAAGACAATAACGTCATGGTAGTAGACAACAACCTAAAACGTAATTACATAAATAAAGATACACAAAAACACACTGAAAAGGGGGCCTGAGGCGGCCATAAAGGGCCCATTGGGGTTATGTCGTGCTGTTCATTCTTGGCTCACCGACATGGATGATGCAAACTGCTTTCTTAACGCCTCGTGTACCTTCTCTTCCCTGCTCCGGCGAGCAAGCAGAGAAAAAGTCGGGACACGCATCCATAAAGAACACACTACCCCTACATTTTTGCACTCAAACAAAACACATATATATTATATTAACATGACATAATATATGTGCAAATCATCTATACATGCCTTCAGAAAATGCATAATTTATGTTTATGAGCCTCTCTCTCCATATGTGTATATATATATAGAGCTCTCCATCTTTGCATTTATACAAATTGATGTGCCAACAAAAGTGGCCCCCGGTCACCCACAATCAAGTTGGGTGTAGGTTGCTGCTATTCTGCTCTTTTGTTGGCGGCATTGCCATTGGCCTTTGGAGGGCTCCAAATCTATAGGAAGATACGGGGAATGTGGGACGGGTGTGTTCTCGTGGGCTCCAGGTCGAAATGGAGATAACAGATCAACCGTCAGATATGTACTTAAAAAGTGTGGTTTGTTGTCCAATATGCCCGCCGCCTCCGTAACATGAAAATGGGCAACAACATTTTTGTAGAGAAAACTACGTGTCGTCCATTTCCATACTTAGATCATGTTCTGTTCGTCGAAGTGTTCTTTCCTTTTAAAGCATCTTTTACCCTTCGCTCTACCCCTTTAAGCTTCGTAAGCTGACCTGTTCCACTGGCAGGTCTCCCCGTGGTTTGCGTGGTTTTCGCATTTCTCCCCCACACGGGGCTTAAACAACGCGGAGGAATCAGAGTACTTCCGACCCACTGGAGAAGAACATCAGAGTTTGTTCGACCAGTTTTGCCGCCCCCCACCCACCGGCTTGGTTGGTAAAAAAAAACTCTTCCAGTGGAACGAAGGCAGTGCCGGGTGTGATGCTGGGAAAAGCGCGGGGTTGTTGTAGTTGGATGATTCCTGCACTGCCAACTGGAAAGAGTAGTACGGACCAACTAAGGGGGTCTTGTTCCTGTGACTTGGTGGTTATGCAGGCAGGTGGCATGAATACGGTCAAGGAAAGTCAACCCACGCGCACCTGTCACAACGGACAGAATGCCGCCCCCCAGAATGACAATACCAAAGAATTCCCTCGTGGGCAGGTTGTGTAGATTTGAGCAAACGAAGAAGAGTTCTGCATGAACGAGACTCCCTGTTGTTTCCCCAAAAGCGAAGCTCAGGGGTATTCAGCCAAAGTAAAAGTATGTAATGGTTTCGGGGTCTTTAGAAGACAGCATTGTTCGGCAAAGGCACGACCCTTGTTGGTGAACTTGCGATGGTGTAATTGTTTAGGTGGATTTGGATGACCCTGGGCATTTTTCTTGGGCTTATTCGATAATTTTCGAGACCATCTCAGTGCAGGATTGTGGGGACGATCTCAAATTCAAAATCGTGTATATCTTCAAAGTCAACAACTTGGAAGTATTATAAATAGTTATAATATATATATATACAGTGTATATATATATTGTACTGTCAATGATGTCCAACCTGTAGATCTATCAAAGGGCCTTGACGGATACTTTTCGGGGGATTCATTATACACACACGCATCTCCGGTCGATCCAAACCGGGACTTGTGACGATCCACCCAAAGGTCTTAACGTCGCAAAAGTCTTGCGACAAGAGCATGCACTATGGGATTCGATTGCTTTTGTATGTTCATGTGTTCGGAGAAGGGCAGGGCCTGCCTTACAGTATAGCTCGTATCCTGCCAAAAGTCGCACATTCAGAATTGCCATGCCTAAGTTGCCTAAGCCCGTGACTTGAAGCGCCAGCTTGCTCATCAGCTGCGTCACGCTGGGCTGCTGGAAGTAAGCCAGACCAATCGCGTGGTTGAAAAACCACCTCGGTTAGGGGGTCGGGGTCGGGTCGACGGGGAGGCAATGCCTATATATATAGTCTACCGCGAGTTTGCGCCACAGTCTCGAGACCTTGCAGAAACTTTCCCCAAAAGCCTTCAGAACTGCCAGCAGCCCACAGGCTGCGGACGGCCCACGGCCCATGGTGCCTGTTGTATCAATCTCGACTGCTTGTCCCATTCCCAGGCACTCCACGAGACAGCCAAACGAACGACCCCTGAAACCCAATGATTCAATGGAAGGAACGTCTATGTATAAGTGGGTGTCTCGTAAGACACCTACTTGTAAATAGAAGCTCCTTGGAGTGCTTGGGATTGGTTTCATGGCGCGCCACGCCGCGACACCTAGCTCAGCCGTCGTCGCGGTGCTCCGGTCGCCACGTCCCTCGTCCGACAAAGGCGGAGGCCCAGTGGATCCGTCGGTCGACAGCGAAATCGAACCAGAAGCTAATCAGGTGGGGATGGGGGGCAAGAAAGCCCTACGTAAAACAACATGGTATAGGGAATCATTAGGTGTGGATAGAGACATGATGATCCGCTCCTATGTGGAGTGTTGAGCTTCAGGCTGTCATGAACCGTCATGAGGTCTTGTTTACTGCTAGAGCCCATATTCCGCCTAGGACGGTTTTCCGGATGGTAAACACATAGTCAGGGGCCCATGGGGTTCAATACAGCACCTTTGGGCTGGGGCTGGTGTGTGCTGAAAGGCCGGTTGTTCCATAAATACAATGGGTTTTAGGGTGTGGGATGGAACTTTCTTCACTAAGCAAAGTACAGTCTTGGACTTCCGGGGATGTATCAGATAAGTCTTTTGAGTTACATCGTTGGTTCTTTAACATCAGAAAACCGTCGTCATCACAAGACTGAATCCATCAGTGTTACCCTCCGACGAAAACGGAAAACCATGGAAGTGGAACATGGCCTTTGGGAAGACGACTTTCCTTGCAAACAGACGGTTCTCCACTTCCATGTTTGTGCGTGGGAGTGTAGTTACTCTGACAGGCCCCCCTGCCAGAGGGACATGAGCCGAATCAACAGCTTTATATAATCCCCAGACACTCCATGTATGCCATATATTTACATACATTGCCCCCAGGTCAACCAACCCTGGCCGTTTCTCGGCAGTCCGTCCTGGCAGTCCCAGGCTCGTCGTGTCTGGGATCTGTGTGGGTCGTCGAATCGGTCGTAGCTCCATCGGTCGTCCGATCGGGGCAGATGTGCCATGTGGCCCAGAAGAGGGACAGTGACAGTGACAGTGACATGACGTGACAGGTGGTTTTCCATGGGTGTCCTGAAATCATGGAAATCATGGGGTGTCCGGAGGCCACAGACTTTCCACATGTTCTTCTATTTCCACGATGAGAATGGGCAGGGGTACACACACTCACCAAACTGCAACTGTCCTATTGTTTGCACTGGCAGGCCCCTTTTCAACCTAAATGCCAGTCCCACGGAGAGTTTGGATATGTTGCAAGGGACTAGCATGACTTGTCACCATCCACTGGAGAGAGTTCCGCTTTTTCAACATTTTCGCTGGATTCGCGGGGGTTTTGCTGCCTGGTTCAGCATGTTTCAGCCAGTCAGACACATTGAATGAGTGGCATGGTGGCTTCAGAGTGGCACAATTTCCAAGAAGTTGTTATTCCCCAGGTTCCAGATAATAAGATAGTTTGAGTGGACCATAATATACGTTTCTGCCATAGAGGTGTTGCAAACACTGCAATCACACTGGTTGTTTAGGTGCGAGGTAGATCAAGGGACATTGAACACTTAACGCCATGAGACAAATGTCTCCCAACTCATTCGTTTTGTGACAACACCACACCGATTTGGCGACCATTGTTTACCATGCGCTTGTTTAATGGCAGCGGTTGGTTCAGGCGTATGTTTACCAATCCAACGACGAATTCCTTTGGTCAAAGGACTGAGACGAGTTCGTCCCGTCCGAAGTCGTGCCGACACCGGCCGAGGCCGACGCCTCCCAGGCACTCCATGGGACTGTCATAGGACGACCGAGAAACGGCCAGGGGTGGTGCCCTCTAGGGGTCTGTCTGGGGCGGCAGTCCTATGACAGACATGGAGTGTCTGGGGTTGGGTGCGAACGTCTAAACCACCGAACCTGAGGAGATGGGCGATGGGCCGGCGGAACCCAAACGGGTGAGGATAGGTAGAGCTGCTCTGAACGGTGGATTGAGAAAGGACGCATTTCTCAGAGGTGGAAAACTCGTGACACGCGATGCCAAGGAGTCTCATTGCTGGAGTTTCTCTTGAGCCCAGTATGGTGGACACCTGTATTGTTTTTTTTTGCTACCATTTAAGGATATCCTGCGCTTTAGCCTGCCCTCACACGAACTGAAGCCGTGATTTGCCCAAAAACCTTCAGCGAATCTCCCTCTTTGGGTGGGTGTCCATATCGAGATTTGGACACCCTTCGACCGCACAATGCTCGCTCAGACAATGCTCAGGCAGCTTGAGATTGCTGAAACAAGAATTTGCATGAAATGGCCAATTCAAGGGTCGCTACTAGTAATTGTTGGCCGAGTTGGGAGCCAAGGAGCTGGGGGTCTCCATTGATCCCTTTTTTCAGTGTTCACAGTCGACCTCAAGCTGCCTATGGCCTATGATGAGCCCAAGGCTTGGAGAGCCAAAAAGATTCAAGAGATCCCGAGAGCCGGGTTGTATGTCCTGTAGCTTGTGTTGGGAAGTTGGGCAGGCTTTACTTAGGAGATGAACACCCAGGGCTGCCACCCTGGCACTTAACCCCAACATCGCTCGACCAGTTCCTTTGCGTTCACAGTAACTTAACGTAGTTTGTAGATAGAGATTGATTGTTGATGTTGATGTGAAAAGATATATACACCGGGGCGGAATATATACCAGCAGTTATCGTAGGGGTTAGCCCTGCTAAACTCCTTGAGAAGGCGATGGAGAAAAAAAAAAGTTATCGTAGGGGTGCCATTATCTACTCACTTAGGGACAAAAACCATCCATTTGTGACTCCTGTAGCTGGAAGGGTAAGGAGTTTCTGCCCGATAAAATAGCTTTTTGGACAGCAACTTGCAATTCAGCGGAGCCATGAGTTCAGAGGCCAGGCCTGCCAAAGGCGAGTTCCAGGAACCAAGTCCAAAGGCAGGGCTAAGGTAGCCCTGCCTTCCCAAGACATGGATTCAAAAACCTCTTCATATGGTGGTTCCATTCTTTTCAAGATATCTACCTTAACGTCAAGAAAAATGCGGTCAATCTAGATGTACCTAGAAAAAGCTTCATCCCTCCAGCTTCCTCCGAAAAGATCGCTCTCTCGCATATGCTTCCACATATGCTTCCACAGATGCTTCCCATGTTTCTGGTTTTGCTCAAGGTGATTGCCCTGATGATTTGTTGTTGTTCCCCAAGCAGTGTGGACACACTGTTTGGGGTTCGTATACGGTAGTTTCCAAGACAGACTTCCTGCTAGACCTCAAACACACTGTTTGGGGCCTCTGGCCGGGAGAATATCTTCATGTACAGTGGTTTCAGAGTAGATGGCACAGACCCCAAGATGTCCTTTAGATGGGGGTCCATATAAACCACCTCTTGGGGTCCGTGCCATCTACTCTCAATCCACTGTATCTGTTTCCACGTTCCTTAAGGCCAATCCCACGGTGTTTTCCGCCTTTCCGACGGGTCGCCTTTCGGCGGAGGCGGACGAGGTCACGTGCGATCGATACAAAGTCCACGTGTTAAGCACTCCACATGAAACACCTCTCAATTTGAGGTGCAACACCAATTCTTTACCACTGGTGTTTCCAACTTGTGGTTCTTATCTTTGCGGATCAGTTGGGTTTCAGAGATCAATGCAGGGAGATATGGAATACATGGAGTGTTTAGGGAAATGGCTGGCTGCGCTCGAAGCACTCCTGCAGAACCTTGCTTGAAACATCATTCTGATTACCAGCTTCTTCCACGTGACCTTGTTGGAGTCCGTTTTTGTGAGCTTTTGTAGGCCCAAGCAAGTGAAAATATCAAGTTTGGTCACTTTGAAGTCAGGTATATAATACTATATATATATACAATACAAATATATGTCATCATCGCTCCGTTTGAGGATGCCAACAAACGCCGGGGCCAACCCCTCGCACGGGGCCGAGCTTTTCTCCCAGCTGTACTGAACATCCCTTCCAGTCCGTTCTGCGGTTTCATGTGTTTTCTGAATTGTTCGTATAATTGTTGCGTTCAATGGTTCATATACAGTGGTGTCAGAGTATCAAACCACCCAACCATTTTTTGGGGGGCACTTGTGATCATCGAACCTCTGAACCCACTGTGGGTTCTTCACTGAACGAGTGAATCGCCTGACCTGGTGAAGACTTGACCTTTCTGGAAATTCCCAGTTCCCGCCCGGCACATGATCCGTCCTTTTCGTCCTCAGATTGGTGGAAAACGGCAGCTGAAAAAGGCAGGTAAACCTCAGCAGCCACACCAACACAACATGAGTGTGCAACATGTGATCCCCGCAGAACGACCAAGTCAACCAGAATCCTGAAGAGGATCGTTCTAGGCACCAAGGCCTGAAGAGGCCCTGTGCTGAGACCTAGTTCTATTGCATGATATATCTTGGAGCAGTCCGTTCTTACCTGTAACAGGACTCGTAAACAATGGTCACGACTATTGTTGAACAAGGCCTTTCCTGACCATCATCATCCACTGCTACAGGCAATAGGATAGACCCAAGATATATATATATATATCATATCATGATCTCCTTGCGCTTCGTCTTCTCAGATCCACATCAATTGACCTACCTTGGGGAGAGTGCCGGGACGTGCCCCGCTTTTCTCCGAGCCGCCGATCGCTTCCGCGGCCCGGGATGGAACGCTTCTTCGGCTAGCGGCGATGGCGCCGAAGAAGGCCGGGTAGGGGGAAGTGTGTTTTTTTGGGGGGGGGTGGGAAAGGGCAAAGGACTTCTAGTTTCAAGAGATTGGAAGCAAATGCGAAAGAGAGGAGCTCTGGTTCGACTTCACTCTTGAGTCTCAGTTTGAGAGGTGTTTAATATGGTGTAATTATGTGGCCAGTGATCCCTCAAGTGAGTGACCTGAGGGAAGCCCTACCTGCTCCACCATGCCGCATGCCGCATGCAGTTTTTGGAACAAGATGGAACAAGTATCGAGCCACTGGCCACCAATAGTTCATACATGTTCAATTGATTACAAAGACGGTCTGATGTCTTTGCATGGACCCCTGTGCCAACCAACACCAACCACTTCAGAGGATTACTGCACATTGAAGATCCTTTTTTCAAGATCAAGTCCATTACTTTGAACTCTCCAGTTGGCTCACAACAAGTCGGGGAAGTTTTTACATGTCATGTCAAGGCATGAGAGCCGAATTCCTTTCATGTTGCGGAGGCGATTTCAAGGCAAGGGAGCAGCCGCACAGCTGCCCGGGGCCTTGGAAGAAACGCCTCCAACGCCTCCAACGCCTGCTCGAAGCACAGATGGACCATACTGTGAAGCAGCATTGGCATACCATGCCAGCATACCATGCCGGCATACATGTAGTGCCAGGGCTTCACGGATTTACATATGTGCTTGATGGATTTTAGATCCCTTTTTGGCTGGACTTCATTTGTCTCAGAGATCATCCATGATCACCCAACTGCAGCAGTGAAGTAGCGCCAACCAGACTGCTGAGGGTGGTGATGCATCTCCTCTAAGTCCCAAGAGCGTGCCTTGGCGGGGAAAGAGCCCCCCACCACCGCGGTGTTTGGGGTCGATCGCAGTGTTTGGGGTCAATCGATCCGGCCGTGAGCTAGAGATGGGTGGAATTCGGTCAGCATTGAATCAGGACCATAAAACATGGGATGAACTGTTTCTTCGGAGGAACTCACTCGATCCTTCCAGATAGAACTCACGCCACTTTCGGAGTGTTCATGTTGGTATGAATGCACCACCGGCACCTGGCTGTTCTTGCGGCCGCGACTTGGTCACTGAGATCCCAGGCTTTCATGACTGAAGCACGATCCTTCGAGAAGTGTATAATATAACCCAGACGCTCCATGTATGCCATTTATGCCTACATTGACCCCTCAAACCACCCCAATGTAGGTAAATATATGTAAATTAGTGCCTGCGTTGGCCTCTTTAAATGGCCTTTCTGTCAGGAGGTTGAAACTATTTCCAAAATCTGGAGACTAATTGGGGTGGTGTGGAAACTATTTCTAAAGTGCTCAGAAACTATTTCCAAAAGGTAGCAAGGCAGTTCTCTCAGCTTCTGGCGGCACTAGTGAAAGAATTTGAAGGGATCATGATTCAGGGATAGCCTTTGCAAAGGCTTCCTAGATTCCTATAGGCTTTTAGGATTAGCTCAGTTAGCAATGCAATCTTAGCATGCACAGTGCTATGAGGTAAGGAGTCGTGATTCAGATTCGTTGCCCTTACACATGACTGTCTACAACAGTAAACAACTCGTGGTCTTGGGATGTAAGAGGGTCCTAGTCCTAGCTACTTAGAGACCTTGTGACACGTGTTGGTGTCTTAGACCTGGACTCTTGGACCTGGACACCGGGACACCTGTAGATCCTTTTTGGCTCGACTTGGTGTGGCTGAGCACTCGGGATGGCTAGCTCTTCAGAAAAAGATGCTGACAGCTCCCCTGGGGGCATCGGCTCCTTTGTGCGGAACCTCTTGTGTGAAGAGCAGCCTCTTGTTTCGCAATGGGAAGTAGAAGTAGCTGGCTGGGAAGCCGGGAAGCCAGCAAGCAAGCAAACAAGTGATTACAGCAAAGAAGCAAAGGCAGAATCAAGTACAAGTAAAGTGTACAGTACAAGCCTTTTTGGATTCAATCCCAGGTGAACATGGGTGAACTAAAGCACATGTCACACAGATGATCCTGTAGATAGAGCGATTGATGAGAGTGAGAAGGGTTCACTGTTCCAAGCATTTTTTCGTGTGCGCTCCCCACTTCTTTGTGTGGGACTGGCTTTCCATGTGATCTGAGGATGAGTGATTCCACCAGCGATGAAGTTCCATCAGACACAGTGGGTCCTGAAGCAGTTCCTCATCTTCCCATGTTCAATTGGTCCCGAATCTTTTGTCAGAAGCTTGGCCTGGACCGTCTTCAAGGGCAGCTGGCAGGAGTCAAGTGGCTCGGCTCTTGTACGCAGGTGTTGGCGGGGACCTGGACAGGGGTTGAGAACAAGACAATGGTCTCAAGGGAGTGTGATGAGATGGGAGACTTGCAGATCTCTGAGTTCACCAAGTAATCTACTGACTGTACTGTACTATTACAGTTACCTGTTTATTGTTATCTTCTCTGCAAGGATTGTGGCGGCCGAAGCTTGCGCGGGGTCAGCGCCAGGAACATACATAATGTGCCTTGGCAGCCAACAAGCCAGAAATCCCAAGACTGGAGTGCCAGGTAATCAATGGTTGACAGTTGATGTAAACAGTCTAAACATGTTTAAACCATGGTTATGTGGTGAGGGTATTTGTACCAGTTGTGATTTGTGTTCCCTGGCCCAACTAAGATGCATTGTGTTGCTCAAAGTTTTGATGGGTTTGTTTTGACTTGAGTCACTTCATTTGCTCTAGCAGTCTAGCAGCATTATTCAACCGGCCGAGCCCGCCGAGCTTTTCCTTTAGGAAGGAGCTCAGCGACTTCTTGGGGTTCAAGACATGGACTGCGAGCGTGTCAGAGCCAGACACAGTCAAGGGAGCCTTTATTCGCAGAAATTTTGGTTCACTGAGCCACTTGTCAGAAGGACTGGGCCGAAGTTGAACCCCAAAGCTTAACTTAAGAGTCAAAAAACTCAAAACTCAAAACCACTGTTTTTTTGATGGAGACCCGCCTGTCTCAGGCCAGGTAATCATTAATTGATTGGCAGGCAGTCAATCACTGAAATCGGAATCTGCAAAATGAACTGAATATTGTCTCTTCCATGTGGAGTCCGGGTATTTGCCCATCTCACTGTGGTGAAGTGATGCATTCTCGCGTGCAACTGAGTCCAGCATCACTACAAGTACGTCTCTGACCAAAGAACTGGTGGATACTGTCTGCAGCACAAGCGTGATTGCCATCCACCAATTCAGGACAGCTTTCTTTTGTGGAATTTCCGGAATTTCATTCTTGGACAATGCAGGCACGTTTCAGAGATCTTTCATTTTTCATGTTTTGTTGCTTGAGGCTGGGAGCTTTCAAACTTAGAGCACTCAGATGTCAGATGCCAGGTTTAGTAATTGGGCCCTGAGAAAAATGTCAGACTGACCGACTGACTGACTTGTTTGATTGAGTGGACCAGGAGGAGATGGAGGACGTGTTTCTAGCAGGGCCACCCTGCCAGCCCTTCACCAGGCTGTCCAACAAGCGATCCCGTCCAGGGTGGAACCCGTTCGACGATCCACGCGCAGAGGTGTTTCTGGACACCAGCAGATACATCAGACTCATGTCCTTGTTGAAAACCATTTTTGTTGTGTTTCCAAGAACTTGAGAAAGTTTGTTTGGCAGGCGGCATCAGCATCAGAGTGAATTGAATATACGGCAGTTAGGAGGTAGTAGTAGTAGTTTACCATTAAATTAAATTAGATTAGATTAGATTAGACTAAGATTAGATTAGATTACTAGAGTGACTAAACTCAACTAAATACATTAAATACACTACGGACTGTACTAGTCCTACTAAATACTATCTATCTGTACAGTATATATCAGGGTCGGTCAGTGTGTGTATCAGTCGGAGTGTGGATTAGCTTTCGACTTTGGAGTCAACTGCCACTTTCAGTGCATACTGTCACCTCAGGATCCAGGAAGCCTCCTGTGGCGATTCTGGAGGAAGCGCCCCGGTCCAAACAGGTGTTTTAAGTTTTGGAATTTACTGCTGCCGATCTACCCAGCTTCCAGATTGAACCTGACAATCTAACTAATGATGATGTCACGATGTCAGTGTCAGTGTCTTTCATTTGCATTGGACCGCCTGTGGCACAAGGTTGCTGATGTTCTGACTCCGTGGCCAGAGCACTGCAAAAGGAGAGTTCTACAACACATACAAGGCGACGGGTGATGGGTGTGCGGCGTGGCGCTCGAGTAAACCGCAGTAAACCGTAGGCAGTCAACAGGCCTGCAGCAACTGTGTTGGCCACTTGAGACACTTGCGGGCTCGAAACTCCAAGAACAGGGCCCAGGTGGTGTGACATTTGCTTAGGACATGATGTATCATATCAGTGCTCAGAGGCCCCCAACACAGAAGGGAGTTAGGCAGCTTTAGGAAATGCCAAACACAGGGATGTGACTGGAACCAGGATTGGTGCGATTGAAAGTTTAACTTCCATTGGTCCATTGGCCTGTTGATTGACATTGACATTGACAAAAAGAAGGGCAACTTTCTAAAGGGGCGGCAATCCAATTCCCAATTAGACAACGTCAGAAACAGAAAGCACAACAGACTGAACAAACTTATGAACAGAGTGACACGATCACTGATCACAAGTCTCATTTTTCATGCCAAACCCACACAAAAACAAAAAACAAGATAGCACTGGACTAAAACCAACACTGGCAAGCGCGATTCCTTCCAGACAGACTCACTACCAGCTGCAATGGATCCCAGTTTCCAGCTGACAGCAAGATGAAATTTAAATGGTCCCTGCTGCTGGATAGGCTTAGATGCCCTTTTCAGACCTGTGGGACGACCTTGCTGATGACGCAGGGCAGGATCAGCCTGGAGAGGACCCAGTCAGAGCAAGGGCAGATTTAGAAGCGAATGAGATTGTCAAGCTGAAGAATAGGGCTCGAACAGAGAAGGCAAGGCAGCAAGCTCTGTTGAGCAAGTTGAAAAGGAAACTGGGTTCTGCATCAACTGCATCTGCATCAACATCTGCAGGAGGGCCACCATCAAATTCCGATGACCCTACAGGCAGTGCCACTCACACTTTGTCTGAGGAAAGTCGGAGTTGGGCCAAGAGAATTCAGGAAGCAGTTTTTACTCCACGTTTTTTCTCCTCTGCATCAGCCACGAGTGCAGATCCGTTTGGAGATGCCGATTATCAACGATTGGGAGTAGAACGGGCAAGAGGAGCTATGAGTTTGATGCTTCAGGTTGTCAAAACACTGGTAGGTCTTCTGAGGCCTTTTGCAAGGAAAAACTCAGAAGGCCAAGAAAACAACTTTGCCATGGCTCAGCTCTTGAACATATGTGTTATGGATGACACCTCTACACGCCTCAAGGGAACTGCAAAAGGTGACCAAACCAATGTCATATACGGAGTCATGAATACAATCCAAACAGTACACATATTGTACAAAGCGGTTGAGCCCCTGGACGAGCAGGATGTGGAACAGCAAAGTTTTTTGATTCCAACACCATTGTTTTGCCTAGCATCCCAGAAAAAAGAGGATCTCTACGCTGGATACAGTGCTTATATGTTGCTTTCTAGCGCTGGTATTGGGCACGGGCTGAAAGCAATGCAGGTCCCTGCATCAGTGTGTGAGCCAGCGAGGTGGAAAGTTCATGTTCTGGTGGGAGATGCGCTCCCCACCAATGACGCATTGTTTAAGCTGGAGCGGCGCATCCTTGTGTCAAGGAAAGAGGAACGCCGGTTAGCGTTGAGAGTGAAGTGTGCACTGCATCAACTGTCTTTGGTGAGAAAGGTTGCAGTTCTGTCTGTAGATTCCTTTTGGACTACACTGGTTCGCCTCTCACATTTGTTTGAACAGTTCACTTTCAAGAAGAG